CATTCTCTTTCTTTTGAAGATAACTTTTTTTTTTTGACATAGAAAGTCTAAAGCTTTTCTCTTTATTTTTGGAAATTTTTTTTCAATGCCCAACTCTTTGTCTTATATTTTCCCCTTAAGCTTTGGAAAAATTCTTTGCAAATGTTCTCATTTACTAATTTTGATGTTTGAAAGATTCATGCCACTATGCATTGCTTCAGTGTATAGTAGACTTTGCACTGAGTTTTTATTTGGATAATCAACTTTTTCATTTCCATAGTTTCTTGTTTTCATATTTCTCCTTTTTAAACAAAAGCCTGCTGTTTTATAATCAATGTATGTTCCTAACTGTTTAACATTTTTGTTGGAGTATAATTGACATGTAATGAACTGTATATGTTTAAAATATTAGTTTGATATGTTTTGACATATGTATGAAACTGTGAACCATGAAACTATCACCACAGTCAAGATAATGAACATATGTGTCCCTTACCAAAGTTTCCTGATGCTCCTTTTTAATCATTCCTGCCTCTACTGTCTTTAGGAAACCATGGATCTGCTTTCTGTCACTATAAATTAGTTTGTATTTTGTAGAATTTTAAGTAAGTAGAATTATACTATGTACTCTTTTTAAAAACATATTTCTAGGCCAGGTTCAGTGACTCACGCCTGTAATCCCAGCACTTTGGGAGGCTAAGGTGGGAAGATTGCTTGAGGCCAGGAGTTCCAGACCAGCCTGGGCAACATGGTGAAATCCCATCTCTACAAAAAAATCTAATAATTAGCCAGGCATGGTGGCCTGTGGCTGTGGTTCCAGCTACTCAGGAGGCTAAGGCAGGGGGATCTCATGAGCCCAGGGCATAGAGGCTCCAGTGAGCCATATTCACACCACTGTACTCCAGCCTGGACAACAGAGCAAGACCCTGTCTCGAAAAATAAAGAAAGAAAGAATTTTTTAAATTAAATAAATACAAATGGAAACATGTAGCTGGCATGATGGCTCATGCCTGTAGTCCCAGCTACTCAGGAGGTGAGGCAGGAGGATCACCTGAGCCTAGGAGGTCGAGGTTGCAGTGAGCCAAGATCAAGCCACTGCACTCCAGTCTGGGCAACACAGTGAGACCCTGTCCTCAAAATAAACAAATTTAATAAAAAAATTTCTAAATGAAAATTTCAAACATACAGAAAAATAGAGAACAATATAATGAACTACAGTACATCTATTACCTACATTTATAATATTGTTTTGGTGGTTCATGTATCTAATTTTTAAAAGTAAATTGGCTTTATTTTTAAGTTTTTGTAAGTTTTTCTAATTAATAGACTTTATAAACTGATACGGTTTGGATTTGTGTCCTCACCCAAATCCTATGTCAAGTTGTAATCCCCAGTGTTGGAGGAGGGGCCTGGTGGGAGGTGACTGGTTCATGGGGCAGATTTCCCCCTAGCTGTTATCATGTTAGTGAGTGAGTTCTCACGAGATCTGGCTGTTTAAAGTGTGTAGCACCTTCCACTTCACTCTTCTACTCTGGCCATGTAAGACGTGACTCCTTCCTCTACCTTCCGCCATGATTATGTTTCCTGAGGCATCCTCAGCCATGCTTCCTGTACAGCCTGCAGAACTGTAAGCGAATTAAGCCTCTTTTATTTGTAAATTACCCAGTCTCAGGTAGTTCTATGCAAGAACAAACTAATACATAAACCTGAACAGCAGTTTTAGGTTTACAGAAAAATTGAGCCAATATTATAATGAATTCTTATAGATGCCCTTTGCCCTGCATACATTTTCCCCATTATTAACATTTGCAATAGTGTGGTATATTTGATACAAGTAGTGAACCAATATTGATATGTTATTATTGACTAAAGTCCATACTTTACATTAGGGTACATCCTTTGTGTTGCACAGTTCTCTGGGTTTTAACTGTGTACTTTTTGTTTGTTTGACGACTTTCACTTACTATAATTATTTCAGGATTCATTCATGTTTTTATGTGTATCATGTGTTTGTTCCTTTTTGTTCTACCTTTTGTATATTCACATGTTTAGGGACATTTGAGTGTTTCCAACTTGGAACAAATTCAGATAAAGCTGCTATGAACATTCATGTGTAAGCCTTTGTGTACACATATGCTTTGGGAAAATATCTAGAAGTGGAATGACTGGGTTATATGGTCAGAGTACGTTTAACTTTCTGAGAAATTGGAAAACTGTTTTTCCAAAATAGTCATACTATTTTTCATTCTGACCAGCAGTGTATGAGTTCTGGTTGTTCCACATCTTTGTCAATATCTGGGATTGTCAGTCTTTAATTTTAGTCATCTTAACAGGTGTGTTTGATATCTCAGTTTTTAAATTTGTATTTCCCTAATAATTAATGGTGATGAACATATTTCTTATTCTTATTGTCTATCTATATATCACACATGGTAAAGTACCCATTTTCACATCTTTTGTCCATTTTTGTATTGTCTTTTTTTTATTACTCTGTTTTGAGAGCTCTTTATATATTCTGGATATAAGTCCTTTATCAGATATAAGATTTAAAAATTGTTTTCTCTTTCTCTTAACATTGTCTTTCAAAGACCAGAAGCTTTTAATTTTGATAAAGTTCAACTTACCAATTTTTTAGTGGATCAAGATTTTGGTATTGTATCTGATAACTCTTTGCGTGACCCAAGGAGACAAAAATACTTTATGGTTTTTTTCCAGAAATTGTATCTTTTTATGTTTTATTTACATTTAGGTTTGTGATTCATTTTGAGATAATTTTTGTATGTGGAGTAAGATATGGATTCAGCTTTATGATTTTTGCATATGGATATCCATTTGTTCTTGTACCATTTGTTGAAAAGAATATTCTCCACTGATTTATCTTTGCACCTTTATCAAAAATTATTTGACCAGGCTGGGCTTGGTGGCTCATGCCTGTAATCCCAGCACTTTGGGAAGCCAAGGATCACTTGAGGCCAGGAGTTCCAGACCAGCTAGGAGTTTGAGGCCTCTCTAGAGATAGGGAGACCTTGTCTCTTTGAAAAAAAAAAAAAAAGGCATGGTGACACACATCTGTGGCTGCAGCTACTCAAGAGACTGAGGTAGGAGGACCTTTTAAACCTGGGAGGTAAAGGGTACAGTGAGCCATGACTGTGCCACTAAACTCCAGTGAGGCTCTGTCTCAAATTTAAAAAATTGGCCAGGCACAGTGGCTCATGCCTGTAATCCCAGCTCTTTGAGAGGCTGAGGTGGGTGGATCACTTGAGGTCAGAAGTTCGAAACCAGCCTGGCCAACATGGTAAAACCCATCTCTACTAAAAAAAAAAAAAAAAAAATTAGCCAGGCATGGTGGTGGGCACCTGTAATCCCAGCTACTTGGGAGGCTGAGGCAGGAGAATTGCTTGAACCCAGGAGGCGGAGGTTGCAGCGAGCCAAGATCACACCACTGCACTCCAGCCTGGGTGGCAAAGTGAGACTCCATCTCAAAAAAAATAAAATAAAATTGACTAGGTATGTTTGGTTCTATTTCTGATCCCACTCTGTATTCTGTTTTGTTAGTCTGTATGTTTGTCACTATACCAGTACTACACTGTTTTGATTACTGTGCTTTTTTTTTTTTTTTTTTTTTTGGAGACAGGGTCTCTGTATTGCCCAGGCTGGCATACAGTAGCACGATTACAGCCCACTGCAGCCTCAACCTCCAGGGCTTAAGCGATCCTCCCACCTCAGCCTCTCAAGTAGCTGGGACTACAGCCATGTGCCACCACGCCTGGCTAATTTTTTATTATTTGTAGAAACAGTGTCTCCCTATGTTGCCCAGGTTGGTCTCGAGCTCCTGGCCTCAAGCGATCCTCCTACCTCAGCCTCCTAAAGTGTTGGGATTACAGGTGTAAGCCACTGTGCCCAGCCTACTGTAGCTTTATAATAAAACTTAAAATAAGATGGTATTGGTAGTCCTCCAACTTAGTTTCTGTTTTTCAAACTTGTTTGATTCTTCTAGGTCCTCTGCAGTTTTAGAATATATATAATGAGCTATGCATAGTTTTTATTGCAGAACAGAAGTTGATTCATTATGAATAAATCAGTTATTCTTTAGTCTCAGGATTAAAACAAAACAATGTAAAAGAAAAAACTTCATGTGTCACACTTTAGGTAGACAGATATTTTCTAGCTAGGTAAATAATGTCAATATTCTGTGCCACGTGAGAACTCAGCATAGAATTATGATTGCATTTTTATATGAGTTAAGGTTATTTGGTTCAAGGCAACAGAAATGAAATGGGGATTTATTGGGAAAATGCTGGGGTAGCTCATCAAAGTGGAGGGTGAGCTGCAAGATCCAGGGTAGCTCTGAGAACCTTTAGACATTCAACGTAAGTACTCACTGTCTTCATGATTCTATTAGTCTTTCTCCTTTGTGTCTCTCTGGGATTTTATTTTCCTAGGCTATTTCATGTAGTGGAGTCCATGGTCTCCAAGAAGAGGAACTTTCTCTACCAGCTCCACTAAGAAAAATTTTGGAAAGGAATCTGATTAGCTCAGCCTGGGCCACTTTCATTACTAAATTAGTCATCATTATTAGGGAAATGGAAAACTCTAATTGGTGAGCTCTGGAGTTTAATGTGAGAAAGTTTTCCCAAAGGAAGGGATTACTGTTGTCAGAAGTACGGAAAGTAGTTGTTGAGTACACAAACCCAATGGATATTCACTACCATGTACTACACACAGCTGAGAGAAAGAACTATTTGATGACTTAAAGCAATAAATTGCAGTTGGTGGGCTTTCTGAAATTCTCCTTGATATATACCATGTACCCTGTTTTTCCTAAAAAAAAAAAAAAAAAAAAAAAAAACAACTAATCTATTCTCCTTAGGCTATGTGGCATATTATATATAACATGTAAAAGTTGCCAGTATTTACATCTTGGTCTTATATGTGAGAAATTATTGCTGATACTGTTTTATTTAAATATTATATGGCAGTCCATAATCTTCATTCATATTTTTCTCTGCTTTCTCCTTTAGGGTGCTGGAAATGTAAACAAAAATAGACTGTTCATTCCTGATGGCTTTTAGTCTATACTAACATATTGTTTGTCATGGCATCCGAGACTGAAAAGACCCATGCTTTACTGCAGACTTGTAGCACTGAATCTCTTATTTCCAGCCTTGGTCTGGGGGTATTTTGCCTTGTAGCTGACAGACTTCTTCAGTTTTCTACAATTCAGCAAAATGACTGGCTTCGTGCTGTCTCAGATAATGCCGTACATTGTGTAATTGGCATGTGGTCATGGGCAGTAGTCATTGGAATCAAGAAGAAGACTGACTTCGGAGAAATCATTTTAGCTGGATTTTTAGCCTCTGTTATTGATGTAGACCACTTTTTTCTAGCTGGATCCATGTCTTTAAAGGTAAAAAGCATAGGCTTAATTTTTCTGGTCTTTAATTTCCTTAGCACTATTTTGCTAATCTTTACAGCATCATTTAGAACTAGAGAGGATTTGTCTTAAAATAGGAAACACATTCATTTAACCTTTTTGATCACTTAGTACTTCCCTAAAGATGCACACAAATACGTTGCTAATCAAATTATTTGCCATCACAAACTGCTATGGATTCACATAGAGCAAAGACCCATGAACTGTATGTACCTAAAGAGTTCAGGGCTGGCTTACAGAGGATGTGTTTAGCCAGGTCTTGAAGAAAGTATTAGCAAACCAGCTTAAATTAACAGGGGTCATTCTCAAGGCTGTCCTAGTTCTTTTTGTATCAGTGTACTTTCTTCAGGAGCACACTTAATATTTCCCCCCTTGTTCTTTATGTTTTACAGTTAGTATGCAGCTCCTAAGTACTCCATAAAAGTTGAATAGCTTTAAGATGATTCCCAGTCCTGAGGAATGACTTGAACAGATTAATTCCCCCAGTCCCTTTTGGGGCCAAAGGCGTGTATTTCAATTGGACTGGCTAGAACACAGTCCCTTGTGGAGAAATTGAGGAATTTCATTGAGGCATTCAGAAGTTTAGTTATATAGCTCACAAATGAACTAAACTTAAAATGTTGGTTCAGATAATATTTTCTAAATGTCAGAAGATTTGCCTACATTTTATGTGTTTATGATCTATAAACATTTCAGGAAAGAAATCTAAATTCATAGAGCAAGGACTTTCTGTTTCATTCACCCCTAGCCTAGAACAATGCCTGGCTTACCTAGTAGATATTCAGGAAATATGAGAAAAGTGAATGAGAAATATTCACTTTTTCCTATTATATGTTGGGTACGAGGTATTTCTCAGAAATTGTTTCACTTATTTAGAAATTTAATCAGTAAAGAATCAGTAATTGCTAATTAAAGACAAACTTTTGTGCTATAGGGAGAGTTAACATATCATTTTGTTTAATATTGAAATAAGAAGACTTGAGTTTGAATCCTGGTTTTTTGGTGTTAGCAGAGTACTTTCCTTTTTTTTAGTTTTATTTTAAATTTTTTATGGATTTAGGGCCACAAGCACAGTTGTATAACATGTATGTATTGCATAGTGGCAAAGTCTGAGCTTTTAGTGTACCCATCACTCTAATGCTATACAAATAGTATTTTATCTCTCACCTCTTCTCACCCTCCCACCTCTTGGAGTCTTAAGTGTCTATTATTCCACTCTGTATGTCCATGTGTACCCGTTGTTTAGCTCTCGCTTACAAGTGAGAACATGTGGTTTTTTAACTTACTATTTCTGCATCATTTCACTAAGGATAATGTCCTCCAGTTCCATCCATGTTGCTGTAAAAGACATGATTTCATTATTTTGTATGGCCAAGTAGTAGTCCCTCCAATGTCTATTATTCTACTCTGTATGTCCATGTGTACCCGTTGTTTAGCTCTCGCTTACAAGTGAGAACACGTGGTTTTTTACTTGCTGTTTCTGCGTCATTTCACTAAGGATAATGGCCTCCAGTTCCATCCATAAAATCAGACACGATTTTATGATTTTTGTATAGGCAAGTAGTGTTCCATGGTGTGATTATATATCACATTTTAATCCAGTCATCCACTGATGAACACTTAGGTTAATTCCATGACTTTGCTATTGTATATAGTGCTGTGATAATCATACAAGTGCATACATTTTTTATATAATGATTTCTTTTTTTTTTTTTTTGAGATAGGGTCTTGCTGTGATGCCCAGGCTGGAGTGCAGTGGTGTGATCACGGCTCACTGCAGCATCAACCTCTTGGGCTCAGGCGATTCTCCCACCTCAGCCTCCTGAGTATCTGGGGCCATAGTTCACATGCCACCATGCCAGGCTAATTTTTAAAAAATTATTTGTAGAGGCAGGGTCTCCCTATGTTGCCCAGTCTGGTCTCAAACTCTTGGGCTCAAGAGATCCTCCTGCCTCAACCTCCCAAAGTGCTGGGATTACAGGCATGAGCCAGTGTGCCTGGCAATGATTTATTTTATATAATAACTTATTTTCCTTTTGGAAAATATTCAGTAGTGGGATTGCTGGATCAAAAGGTAGTTCTACTTTTAGTTCTTTGAGAAATCTCATACTGTTTTCAGTAATTTATATTCCCACCAACAATGTATAAGTGTTCCCTTTTCTCTGCATCCTTGCCAACATCTGTTGGTTTTTGACTTTTTGTTAATAGCCATTCTGATGGTATGTGATGGCATCTCATTGTGGTTTTAATTTGCATTTCTCTGATTATTAGTGATATGGAACGTTTTTTCATGTTTGTTGGCTGCTTATTTGTCTTCTTTTGAAAAATGTCTGTTCATGTCCTTTGCCCACTTTTTGATGGGGTTGTTTTTTCTTGTTGAGTTGTTTGAGTTCCTTGTAGATTCTGGATATGAACCCTTTGGCAAAAGAACCCTATTTTCTCCCATCCTGTAGGTTGTCTGTTTACTCTGTTGATTATTTCCTTTGCTGTACAGAAGCTCTTCAGTTTAATTAAGTTCCCTTTTCTTCTTTAAGTTTTAACTTCTTCATCTGTAATATGTGTATTATAACATTACTTACCTTGTGGGGTTGTTGTGAGGCTTAAGTAAGCATGATAAGTGACCTGGCCTGGTAAATATTAACAGTAAATGATCCAGGCGCGGTGGCTCACGCCTGTAATCCCAGCACTTTGGGAGGCTGAGGCGGGCGGATCACGAGGTCAAGAGATCAAGACCATCCTGGCCAACAAGGTGAAATCCTGTCTCTACTAAAAATACAAAAAAAATTAGCCAGGCGTAGTGGCAAGTGCCTGTAATCCCAGCTACTTGGGAGGTTGAGGCCAGAGAATTGCTTGAACCTGGGAGGCGTAGGTTGCAATTTGCTGAGATCATGCCATTGCACTCCAGCCTGGGCAAAAAGAGCGAAACTCTGTCTCCAAAAAAAAAAAAAAAAAGGAAAAAACAATAAATGTTAGAGATTGGGATAAGTTATGAAGCATTATAAAATATGTGATTCATAAATGTATTCATCTAGAATTTATTCTTTTATAATTTTTAAAAGCATTTGGGCTGCATAGCATATTTATCCTTTAATTCACTTAGAAGCACTATTGTTAAGAATATGAGCTATAGAGTTAGACTGAACCAGGATCAAATCCCAGCTATGTCACTCATTAACTGCACAGTATGGGGGAAGTGACTAGCCTCACTACCTCAGTCTCCTCTGCTGTAAAATGCTACCTACCATATAGAGTTGTTATAAGGATCAAATGAGATAGTGCACATAAAGTACAGCATAGTGCTAGTATTAATCATTATTTTTGAATTAAGTATTAAAATATTTTACATTCACCATAAGGTGGTATGTGATTATCAGTAATAAATATCAAACCTGAATAAGTATTCATGGCAGTGATCTATTTTTACTTCTGTGATTCCATAATTCCATTTTCTTTCATTATTCATCATTTTTCTATTAATAAAAAAATCAAAGGCCAGGCACAGTGGCTCATGCCTATAACCCCAACACTGGGAGGCTAAGATGGGAGGATCGCTTGAGGTCAGCAGTTGAAGAGCAGCTTGGGCAACAGAGTAAGACTCCATCTCTACAAAAAAAAAAAAAAAACTAGCCAGGCATGGTGGTGTAGGCCTATAGTTCCACCTAATCAGGAGGCTGAGGCAAGAGGAGCACTTGAGCCCAGGAGTTTGAGATTACAGTGAGCTAAGATTGTGCCACTATACGCCAGCCTGGGCTTTGAGACAGCACAGGTCTCTGTCTAAAAAAAAAAAAAAAGCTACATTGATATTTTAGAAATCAGCAAACAACAAGAATTTCCAGTTTCTTTTTTAGCAGCTATTAATATAAATAGATGTTAATTCACAAATAAGAATGTAAAGAATCAGTATGGCTGTGAATATATCCAGAACATAACTCAACATCAGGTTATTGCTTTCTTGCAAGTAGTGATTACCATAGGCTCCTTAATCCCATCCTATTGAAAATGTTGTACTTCCTATTAAAAGTGTCGCCAGTCTTTCCAATCAGTTCTATGATTTATATTTTACTAATATGGATTATAAACTAAACCTTTATTACTATAGTACATAAAAGTGCTTTTGTTGGGGGGAGAAATCTGATGCCAGTGTAATACTATTGCCTTTGCAAGTTATTTTACCTTTTGCGTGGAGGCCTTAAAAACTGTTCTTTTATCATTATTACAGTAACAGCTCTACTAAATTGTCTTGAAGCTTATTGAGTCAGTTTTTTAAGATGGGCTCTTGAAATAGATTCGCATTTTTATTTTTAGTTTTCTTAGATCATAGCTTTAAATACTGGTTCCATTCTATTCCTTTGTTTTTCTTTAGGGACTTCAATTATACATATGTTGTTTCTTTTTGCCTGTATTCTATTTCAGCCATTTTCTACCTGACTGTTTTTACTCTTTTCCTCATACTATTTTTATTTTCTTGGTTAGTTTCCTGCATTTTTTTTCTTTTCTTTTCTTTCTTGAGACAGAGTCTTGCTCTGTTGCCCAGTTTGGAGTGCAGTGGTGCAATCTCAGCTCACTGCAACCTCTGCCTCCTATGTTCAAGGGATTCTCATGCCTCAGCCTCCTGAGTAGCTGGGATATGGTGGCATACATCACCATACCCAGCTAATTTTTGTATTAATTTTTTCAATGCACCTTATTAAACTTTCATTTGACCTATTCTCCCTTGGACACATTACAATATAGTCATTTATTAGATTGTTTTTGTTTTTTTCCATACTGAGTTTAATCAATTATTATCTTTTTTAAAATCTTTTTTTTTTCCATTTTTGAACTTCTGATTCAAGATTTTTTTTTATGTCCCCATATGGTTGTTTGAGATTTAATTTAGTTTGGAGTCTTGTGATACAATTTTCTTATGTTTTGTGTAGTTTTTAAAAAAATTTTTTTTTTTTTGTATTTGTTACTAGGAACAGGGTTCAAGAGATTTTTTTATGTGGGGGGGGGGGGTGTTTTTTAGACGGAGTTTCATTCTTGTTGCCCAGGCTGGAGTGCAATGGTGTGATCTCAGCTCATTGCAACCTCCCCCTCCCAGGTTCAAGCAATTCTCCTACCTCAGCCTCCCGATTAGCTGAGATTACAGGCATATGCCACCACGCCCAGCTAATTTTGTATTTTTAGTAGAGACAGGGTTTCTCCATGTTGGTCAGGCTGGTCTCGAACTCCTGACCTCAGGTGATCAGCTTGCCTCAGCCTCCCAAAGTGCTTGGATTACAGGCGTGAGCCATCCCACCTGGCCTGATATTTTTATTCTGTTTTCTATTTTCCTCCTATATTAGCTTTTTACAGATTTGTTCTCTTTTATCACTTTATTTCATGATATTACATGATTATTTATTCTAACATATTCTTGGTTAAGGCAGTGTTGGCAAAAGGACCGATGATGAACTTAACATATTGTGGATATAGAATTTAAAAACAAAGGTGAAGACAAAAGTAGAATAATAATACAGAAATGGTACATGTTCTGATGAAGTAGAAGTAAAACAAAATGTGGAGGAGGAGGCAAGGAAAGAGGAGTGTAAAATAGACTCTTTGATGTTCAGACCATAGGTGAGAGGTAAAGAATACTAGTTTGAGGAGAGGGTCTATAGAATTCCTTGTTCAAGGGTGGTCTGATTTGACAGTGGGACAAGGTATGGTTCTTTAATGAGTAACTTTTTTTCATGTGGTGGGAACACTGTCTGATTTTTGTTTGTTTGTTTTTTGGACAGGAAACTACATTTCTTCCTTTTACTACTACTTTTCCTTTTCACCGTCTAGTCTCCAAAGGGTGTCTCTCCCTTTCTTACCATCATCTCCCCCAGAATCAATACCTTTCAGAGTCTTGAAGGTCCACTTTTAAGTCCTTTCCCTGCAGTTAGTGCTCTGACCTACTAGGACACTCTTCAGTATTTTCACACTTAAACTGAACTTCCTAGTGATAATTTTAGATCAACAGTATTTTCACACTTAAACTGAACTTCCTAGTGATAATTTTAGATCAATCTTAGGTTTCCCCTCTTCCCTCTTCAATATAGTTTTTCCTGACTTGGATGGAAGTGTTTGAGAGAGAACCCACTGATCTGGTGTTTATTTTAATACTCATGGGTAATTTCAAATATGGGCATTCTCTGGCTTCTATTTATGCTGAGGGTTTAAGATTTTATGTAGTTTTATTTGTCCTTCATGTTTTAAAATATTTTTAGAGGGTATGTGCAGAGATTCAGATTTAGACAATCATCACTATTCTCAGCTTTATTTTTGTTTAGGGATTATCTTGCTGCAAATTAGTCTTTAAAGCAGGTGGGAACAAAACCCTACTCATGAATCATTCAGGGATTAAGCCTGAAATTTTTATTGGTTCAGATATTGAGTATATTTTTTGGTAGTGGTTTAGAAATTTACTGAAGTTTGCCGGACGTCATGGCTCACATCTGTAATCCCAGCACTTTGGGAGGCCAAGGTGGGTGGATCACCTGAGTTCAGGAGTTCGAGACCAGCCTGGCCAACATGGTAAAACCCCATCTCTACTAAAAATACAAAAATAAGCCGGGCATGGTGGCAGGTGCCTATGATCCCAGCTACTCAGGAGGCTGAGGCTAAAGAATTTTAACCCAAGAGGCAGAAATTGCAGTGAGCCAAGACTGCGCCACTGCACTCCAGCCTGGGCAACTGAGGAAGACTCCATCTAAAAAAAAAAAAGAAAGAAATTTACTGAAGTTTATTTAACTCAATTTTAGAATATGTATTTAAAATAATATAGTTTTTCTAAATATTGTAAATAAATTCCAAAAGTGTTTATCGCTAATATAAAATGGATATAACAAAAATATTTCCCTCTTTTGCCTTCATTAACTAATATTTTATTTGGTTGTGAGATATCTTTTCAGTGCTCTTAAAGACCGTGGATAATTATATAAAACTTCAAATTACACAAACCATACACTTAGGATATAAATTATATTCACATTGTGAATTTTCTAAGCAAATAATGGGACACTTAAAAAATTAATCACCATATTCCTGAGAACTTGATTTTATTTTTAATGTAAAGGATATCCTGCTCACACTTTTATAGTCTTTATATATATATATATATATGTTTGTGTGTGTGTGTATATATATAATTTTGGTATATGTATTCTGAAGTGGCATAGAACATGTTTCTTTTGCATGTCCAATAGACTCTGGAAAATATTTTAAAATATTAAGAAGCATGTATAAAATTTTGTTTTGCTAGAAGGGAAATGATACTCGCTATTACTTTGCTCCCTCAGGCTGCTTTGACTCTTCCGCGAAGACCTTTCCTTCACTGTTCTACTGTGATACCTGTTGTGGTTCTGACCCTGAAATTTACTATGCACCTTTTCAAGCTCAAAGACTCATGGTGCTTTCTTCCTTGGATGTTATTTATATCCTGGACTTCACACCATATCCGCGATGGGATTCGTCATGGTTTGTGGATATGCCCATTTGGAAAAACTTCTCCTTTGCCATTCTGGCTTTATGTAATAATCACATCATCTTTACCTCACATCTGTTCATTCATTATGTATTTAACAGGAACCAGACAAATGATGTCTTCAAAACATGGAGTTCGTATTGATGTCTGAGGTAACCACACAGCAGTCTTAGAGAAGCAAATGGCTCAGATGATGATAATTAAGAGTAGCCAACATTAAAGTTAATTTTTAAAAACACAGTTAGGTGTTTATATTATTTAATTATTATAATTCTGGAATCCTCTTTCTCAGGAAGCATGTACAACTTTTTAAAAAATTATACTTGTTATTATTCTACTTCTCTCTTCTATGACAACTCTAGTGCAATATTGGAGTTTCATTTATTCCACAATATGTTTTTATTGTTTTTTTCTGTTTGTCTGGTTTTACTAGTAGTTCTGTTAGATTAACATCCTGTTCATTTTCTGGAAATATACCTAGAATTTAGTCCATTTCCTAGTGAAAAACAGTTCAAATTTAGGGTAACTAATTTGTAAAGAGTTAACATTATATTTGGATCCACATTTTCTTGAGATATTGAAATAGTGAAATCGCCAAATAAATGATATCAATCATTTAACTATACAAATGTATAGTTAATGCTAACATGCATTTATTTTCATATATGTTGATCCTGACTGAAATTTAATTTGCACAATGCTTTATGAGTTATGATTGCTGGCAAAATCTTCAGAGCACTTATGACACATCATTATAATATCTGGTAGCTAACATTAGATCTAGCTTATTATTTCAGAAATTAATTTAGGAAATTATTAAAACATGTTGACTATAGTAACAGTTTACTGAATTAGTATTTTTTTAGTATCTCTAGCCTAAAATCTCATGTGTTGTGTTTTAACTGTTTTGAAAAACATAGGTAAATTTAATATTTGTTAATAAATAACATTAACAAAATACTGATATTTGGATCATAACCATAACATTTGAATTCATACAAAAAATAATGACCAGTAATGTCATTTCAAATGTAAATTCCTGAATGTACCACTAAAATTGTTTTAGTTGCTATCAGTTTGTTTATATACTATTCTAAAATATTTTACTAGTTAAATAATTTTTTAATCTTCCTGATACTGAAAGACAGCGTATATTTTTTTCAAAATAAAGTTTTAGGAAATTTGCTTTTTCCTTTTTCTTTCAGGTTGATCTTCTATTAAAATGATTCCTGTTTATTAGAGAAGGAAAATTTAGTTACTATACATCTTATATTTGCACAGTTTATTAAAGTTAGTGCCCTAAAGTTACCTGCTTTTCTTTGTGGCATATGAGGCATCTGCTGTCTTCAGATTTTCTTACAGTTTTGTGATTTATAGTGCTAATGATTGGTGTGCCTTATTCTCTGAGGGAGGATGGAGGGTTCATAAAGCAATGCCTTATCCACAGCAGATTTTCTTGTATATTAAGTTAAACAGAATTCTGTATAAATTATTATGAAGGTTCAAGTTCTTTAGGGGAGTTTTTTTTTCTTGTTGTTAACAATTTGGTTGCAATCTATTATATTTTGCAATTGACTAGATATTACAGTCTACTTATTTTTCAAGAGTAATTATTATATAAATTTGGTTGGTATAATGGTAAATATTATATAATGGGGGTAAATTTGATTAGAGTTTTTTTTTAAGCTTCTGACTTTAGAAATCCGTGGAAATAAAGTCTGTATCTTGTGTAACAATTCCAGACTAAATTGCAAAACCTTTTCTACTTTTTCTTTCTTCATATTAAACAAATAAATATTATTAAAAATATAGGGCCTTATTTAAGAATGCTACATGGTGACAGGACGCAGTGGCTCACGCCTGTAATCCCAACACTTTGGGAGGCCGAGGCCAACGCTTTGGGAGGCTGAGGCAGGCAGATCACTTGAGGTCAGGAGTTCGAGACCAACCTGGCCAACATGGTGAAACCCCGTCCCTACTAAAAATACAGAAATTAACTGGGTGTGCTGGGTGTGCCCCTGTAGTTTCAGCTACTCGGGAGGCTGAGGCAGAGAATGGCTTGAACGTGGGAGGCAGAGGTTGCAGTGAACTGAGATGGTGCCACTGCACTGCAGCCTGGGTGACAGAGGGAGACTGTCTTAAAAAATAAAAATAAAATAAATAAGAATGCTACATAGGCATTTTTTGGGTTGTCCTAACTTTCCTTTAGTAGAATGGGAATGCACTTTTGAACATAACTCCTTGCTTAAACAATACTGCACATTTTATGTGTGGGTTCATCTTGGTTCCTACCTCTACCATCAGAAATCTTCCTTGTCCTCTAAATCAGCAGTCCCCAGCCTTTTGGCACCAGAGCCTGGAGGGACTAGTTTGGTGGAAGACAATTTTTCCACAGATGGTAGGGGAGGGGTGGGGGTGCGGATGGTTTTGGGATGAAACAGTTCCATTTCAGATCATCAGGCATTAGATTCTCATAAGGAGCTTTCAACCTAGATCCCTCACATGCGCAGTTCACAATAGGATTCCTGCTCCTATGGGTATCTGATGCTGCAGCTGATCTAACAGGAGGTGTAACTCCGGTGATAATGCTTGCTCACCCACCACTCACTTCCTGCTCTGTGGCCCAGTTTCTAACAGGCTATGGACCAGTACCTGTCCACAGCCCAGGAGTAGGGGACTCCTGCTCCAAATGGACCCCAAAATTTGTGATTGCAATGTCTGGAAAACCAGCAACCACCTCCCCATGCCTGCACTTTCTTTTTGCTTCTAATGAAAGAATTTGTGTCAATACAACATTGTGTTTGAAAGATAGATTGTACTTTATTTGCACGTGTGCATTTTTCTCCATCTTCTAGAATAACTTCCTTCACCTAGTGTTTGTCTCTTTGCTGTTTTACTGATCCAGCCTCCCAGTCTACCATTCTCTTATCTTGAGTTGTGTTATTCATGCTGGCTTCTGGACAACTTCCACCACTGAACTATGTTCTACTCATCCCCCAAGCCCAGCTTTCTTTCATGGTAGGCTTAAGAATCCCTGTTGTGGAGAATGCAATAAAGATACTCCTCAACAAGAGCAACTCCAAGACACATAATTGCCAGATTCACCAAAGTTGAAATGAAGGAAAAAATGTTAAGGGCAGCCAGAGAGAAAGTTCAGGTTACCCACAAAGGGAAACCCATCAGACTAACAGCAGATCTCTCAGCAGAAACTCTCCAAGGCAGAAGAGAGTGGGGGCCAATATTCAACATTCTTAAAGAATTTTCAACCCAGAATTTCATATTCAGCCAAATTAAGCTTCATAAGTGGAGGAGAAATAAAATCCTTTACAGACAAACACATGCTGAGAGATTCTATCACCACCAGGCCTGCCTTACAAGAGCTCCTGAAGGAAGCATTAAATATGGAAAGGAACAACCGGTACCAGCCACTGCAAAAACATGGCAAATTGTAAAGACCCTCTATGCTAGGAAGATACTGCATCAACTAACGAGCAAAATAACCAGCTAATATCATAATGTCAGGATCAAATTCATACATAACAATATTAACCTTAAATGCAAATGGGCTAAATGTTCCAATTAAAAGACACAGACTGGCAAATTGAATAAAGAGTCAAGACCCATCAGTTTCCTGTATTCAAGAGACCCATCTCACATGCAGAGACACACATAGGCTCAAAATAAAGGGATGGAGGAAGATCTACCAAGCAAATGGGAAACGAAAAAAAGCAGGGGTTGCAATCTTAGTCTCTGATAAAACAGACTTTAAACCAACAAAGATCAAAAGAAACAAAGAAGGCCATTACATAATACTAAAGGAATCAATTCAAGAAGAAGAGCTAACTATCCTAAATATATACGCACCCAATATAGGAGCACCCAGATTCATAAAGCAAGTCCTTAGAGACTTACCAAGAGACTTAGATTCCCAAACAATAGTAATGGAAAATTTTAACACCCCACTGTCAACATCAGACAGAGCAACAAGACAGAAAGTTAACAAGGATGTCCAGGAATTGAACTCAGCTCTGCACCAAGCAGACCTAATAGACATCTACAGAACTCTCCACCGCAAATCAACAGAATATACGTTTTTCTGAGCAACACATCACACTTATTCCAAAACTGACCACATGGTTGGAAATAAAGCACTCCTCAGCAAATGTAAAAGAACACAAATTACAATGAACTCTTTCTCAGACCACAGTGCAATCAAACTAGAACTCAGGATTAAGAAACTCACTCAAAACCACTCAACTGCATGGAAACTGAATGACTACTGGAAACAACCTGCTCCTGAATGACTACTGGGTACATAATAAAATGAAAGCAGAAATAAAAATGTTGTTTGAAACCAGTGAGAACAAATACACAACATACCAGAGTCTCTGGGACACATTTGAAGCAGTGTGTAGAGGGAAATTTGTAGCACTAAATGCCCACAAGAGAAAGCAGGAAAGATCTAAAATTGACACCCTAACATCACAATTAAAAGAACTAGAGAAGCAAGAGCAAACATATTCAAAAGCTAGTAGAAGGCAAGAAATAACTAAGATCAGAGCAGAACTGAAGGAGATAGAGACACAACAAACCCTTCAAAAAATCAATGAATCCAGGAGCTGGTTTTTTGAAAAGATCAACAAAATTGATAGACTGCTAGCAAGACTAATAAATAAGAAAAGAGAGAAGAATCAAATAAACACAATAAAAAATGATGAAGGGGATATTACCACCAACCCCACAGAAATACAAACTACCATCAGAATACTATAAACACCTCTATGAAAATAAACTAGAAAATCTAGAAGAAATGGCTAAATTCCTGGACACATACACCCTCCCAAGACTAAACCAGGAAGAAGTTGAATCCCTGAATAGACCAATAACAGGCTCTGAAATTGAGGCAATAATTAATAGCCTACCAAACAAAAAAGTCCAGGACCAGACGGATTCATAGCTGAATTCTACCAGAGGTACAAAGAGGAGCTGGTACCATTCCTTCTGAAACTATTCCAATCAATAGAAACAGAGGGAATCCTCCCTAATCCATTCTGTGAGGCCAGTATCATCCTGATACCAAAGCCTGGCAGAGACCAACAAAAAAAAGAGAATTTTAGACCAATATCCCTGATGAACATCGATGCAAAAATCCTCAATAAAATACGGGCAAACCAAATCGAGCAGCACATCAAAAAGCTTATCTTCCATGATCAAGTTGGCTTCATTCCTGGGATGCAAGGCTAGTTCAACATACGCAAATCAATAAACATAATCCATCATATAAACAGAACCAAAGACAAAAACCACATGATTATCTCAATAGATGCAGAAAAGGCCTTTGACAAAATTCAAAAGCCCTTCATGCTAAAATCTCTCAATAAACTAGGCATTGATGGAACGTATCTCAAAAGAGTAAGAGCTATTTATGACAAACCCACAGCCAATATCATAAAGAATGGGCAAAAACTGGAAGCATTCCCTTTGAAAACGGGCACAAGACAGGGATGCCCTCTCTCACCGCTCCTATTCAACATAGTGTTGGACAGGGCAATCAGGCAAGAGAAAGAAATAAAGGGTATTCAGTTAGGAAAAAAAGAAGTCAAATTGTCCCTGTTTGCAGATGACATGATTATATATTTAGAAAACCCCATCATCGCAGCCCAAAATCTCCTTAAGCTGATGCAACTTCAGCAAAGTCTCAGGATACAAAATCAATGTGCAAAAATCACAAGCATTCCTATACACCAATAACCAACAAACAGAAAGCAAAATCATGAGTGAGCTCCCATTCACAATTACTACAAAGAGAACAAAATACCTAGGAATCCAACTAACAAGGGATGTGAAGAACCTCTTCAAGGAGAACTACAAACCACTGCTCAATGAAATAAAAGAGGACACAAACAAACGGAAGAACATTCCATGCTCATGGATAGGAAGACTCAATATCGTGAAAATGTCCATACTGCCCAAGGTAATTTATAGATTCAGTGCCATCCCCATCAAGCTGCCAATGAATTTCTTCACGGAATTGGAAAAAACTACTTTAAAGTTCATATGGAACCAAAAAAGAACCCGCATTGCCAAGACAATCCTAAGCAAAAAGAACAAAGCTAGAGGCATCACGCTACCTGACTTCAAACTATGCTACAAGGCTACAATAACCAAGACAGCATGGTACTGGTACCAAAATAAAGATATAGACCAATGGAAATGAACAGAGCCCTCGAAAATAATACCACACATCTACAGCCATCTGATCTTTGACAAACCTGACAAAAACAAGAAATGGGTAAGGATTCCCTATTTAATAAATGATGCTGGGAAGACTGGCTAGCCATAAGTAGAAAGCTGAAACTGGATCCCTTCCTTACACCTTATACAAAAATTAATTCAAGATGTATTAAAGACTTAAATGTTAGACCTAATACCATAAAAATCCTAGAAGAAAACGTAGACAATACCATTGAGGCCATAGGGATGGGCAAGGACTTTGTTACTAAAATACCAAAAGCAATGACAACAAAAGCCAAATTTGGCAAATGGGATCTAATTAAACTAAAGAAATTCTGCCCAGCAAAAGAAACTACCATAAGAGTGAGCAGGCAACCTACAGAATGGGAGAAAAATTTTTACAATCTACCCATCTGACAAAGGACTAATATCCAGAATCTACAAAGAACTTAAACAAATTTACAAGAAAAAATCAACCCCATTAAAAAGTGGACAAAGGATATGAACAGACACTTTTTAAAAGAAGA